AGGACGGTACAGATATCCCCCCAAATGTCAGGACGGTACAGATATCCCCCCAAATGTCAGGACGGTACAGATATCCCCCCAAATGTCAGGACGGTACAGATATCCCCCCAAATGTCAGGACGGTACAGATATCCCCCCAAATGTCAGGACGGTACAGATATCCCCCCAAATGTCAGGACGGTACAGATATCCCCCCAAATGTCAGGACGGTACAGATATCCCCCCAAATGTCAGGTCAGGACGGTACAGATATCCCCCCAAATGTCAGGACGGTACAGATATCCCCCCAAATGTCAGGACGGTACAGATATCCCCCCAAATGTCAGGACGGTACAGATATCCCCCCAAATGTCAGGACGGTACAGATATCCCCCCACGGTACAGATATCCCCCCAAATGTCAGGACGGTACAGATATCCCCCCAAATGTCAGGACGGTACAGATATCCCCCCAAATGTCAGGACGGTACAGATATCCCCCCAAATGTCAGGACGGTACAGATATCCCCCCAAATGTCAGGACGGTACAGATATCCCCCCAAATGTCAGGACGGTACAGATATCCCCCCAAATGTCAGGACGGTACAGATATCCCCCCAAATGTCAGGACGGTACAGATATCCCCCCAAATGTCAGGACGGTACAGATATCCCCCCCCAAATGTCAGGACGGTACAGATATCCCCCCAAATGTCAGGACGGTACAGATATCCCCCCAAATGTCAGGACGGTACAGATATCCCCCCAAATGTCAGGACGGTACAGATATCCCCCCCCCAAATGTCAGGACGGTACAGATATCCCCCCCAAATGTCAGGACGGTACAGATATCCCCCCCCAAATGTCAGGACGGTACAGATATCCCCCCCCAAATGTCAGGACGGTACAGATATCCCCCCCCAAATGTCAGGACGGTACAGTCAAATGTCAGGACGGTACAGATATCCCCCCCCAAATGTCAGGACGGTACAGATATCCCCCCCCCAAATGTCAGGACGGTACAGATATCCCCCCCAAATGTCAGGACGGTACAGATATCCCCCCCCAAATGTCAGGACGGTACAGATATCCCCCCCAAATGTCAGGACGGTACAGATATCCCCCCCAAATGTCAGGACGGTACAGATATCCCCCCCAAATGTCAGGACGGTACAGATATCCCCCCCAAATGTCAGGACGGTACAGATATCCCCCCCAAATGTCAGGACGGTACAGATATCCCCCCCAAATGTCAGGACGGTACAGATATCCCCCCCAAATGTCAGGACGGTACAGATATCCCCCCCAAATGTCAGGACGGTACAGATATCCCCCCAAATGTCAGGACGGTACAGATATCCCCCCCAAATGTCAGGACGGTACAGATATCCCCCCCAAATGACCTATTTTTGCATAGTAGACAGTCCGACGTACTTCATAAGAGGCTGGGCGAGTTTTTTGAAGTTGTATTTTTTTTGTCATTTTTCGGAAAATGAAAAAATTATTTTCACTTTTTTTTTTACATACTGTCACCAGTGCAGTACAGCCTCATCATATAACTGGCATGGCGGTGATCAGGGACACTGACTGGTGACAGTGTGTGAAGAAAAAAAAAAAATATATATATTATTTTTTTTTTTTAATATTTCACTATGTCCAAAGTAGTACAATGTTACCATAGTAACATTGTACTACTTTGGGGAAGTGATCAGTATTTTTTTTTTTTTACACAATTTGCTTATAGCGAAGAATTACTTTGCTATAAGCAAGCATTTACCTGAATGACATCGAATCATTCAAGGTTTCTCTTTTTTTTTTTTTTTTTTTTTTTTGTGCTTAGCTGTGATTTGGCCACAGCTAATCACATGACATGTGCATGTGATTAGCTGTGACCATTCACAGCTAGGTACTAGTATACAATGGATGGCATGAATGAAGCCATCCATTGTATACAACTGTCATGTGACCTGCTGTGATTGGTCACAGCAGGTCACATGGTACCAGCAACAGGAGTCGGTACTCAGATCTGTTATCGGCCGTGTCTGAGGTACACCGCCGGTGACAGATCGCGGCTCTGCAAGCGCGCAAACTGCGCATGTGCGGGAGGACGCCATATGGCGGCCTCCAGGAAAGCTAGTACATTTTTCCGGACGCCATTGGCCATAGGCCGGCATCAAATGGTTAAAGAACATTTACAGGAAATGGTGGTAGCTTTAATCATCGGCTGTGACTATCCTGCCAGAATCTTTCTGTCTCGTATCCAGTATGGCTCTCCTGTCCATACACCTATGGAGGACACTTTCTTTGAATTGCTGGGCTGCCTGACCTGTGTCTGAGAAGCATCCAATCCACATGAAGAACAGCATTGCATCGGTATTACTTTCAATCCTTGTATCAAGGATGCTGTTGGGGCAAGCGCACCCTCTCCCTCAGCGGAAGAAACCTAAAGAGCATAATCTTGAGGTCTTCACCTTCATTTTTCTAACTAATGCTTCTTTGGGTGAGGCTGTCGGGCCCCAAATCTTGGCTCCTAGCCCACCTGCAAGCACTGGGGGCCAAGTCCACCATACCCTCCAACAAGCCTTCCACGACATAAGAGCACCCCCATTGTTCAGAGTGGATGGCATTTGTTTGCCTTTTTTAACAGTTGGACTTCTTGCATCTCAGACATCTGGGTGAAGGTGAGAAGGTGGAATACAAATGTTAGTCTAGGTTCACTCCCTGCCCCCTCTTGATTTGTAATCTTCAGACTTCCTGTCTCATTGCACAGATTAACAGACCTCCATTGAGACTTTTCAGGACCAACGTGTCCTTGCCCCAGTTACTGTAGCAGAATGTCTTCAGAGGTTTTACTCCAACTGACCACGGGTTCCAAACCCAGAGGGGTCGGCAACAAATTGTGGATACAAAAGCATTGAATGTCTTCATTTTGAGTTCAGGAACTATGGAACCCACCAGGTGTGTCATTGCCTCTGTTTACCAGGGAGACTTTCTATGTTCAGTGAACATCCAAGAATGCGTACCATGCATTTCCCTCTTTGGTTTGGACTGAGAGTCTTGGGTCTGATGGTGGACTTTTGAGGCAGTTCTGTTTGCCTGGTTTCATTCCAGATCTTTTACAAACCAACAATTACAATGCAACAATTCGGTTCGGTCCTTGTACTGACCAAGTCCTATGGCACCGAAGATCGGGCTGTCCCTGGCTTGGTGGAATTTGGTACTGGGGGAAGTCTTTCCTTTTCAGTCTATTTGGAAGATCCTCATGATGGGTGCCAGGCCGGGGAGAAGTCCTAGACACTGTCCTTGCTGGGCACTTGGTTTCCTCCTATCCACATTCTGGAAATGCAAGAGGTCTAGTGGGCTCTGCAACCCTGGACCATCCTACTGGAGGACCATCTGATCAGACAACACCATGGTGATTGGGTGCATCAAGCATCATAGGGGAACTAGAAGTCTTGCTGCAGAAGGAGAGGTTTTATAAACCCTGTCCTGGGCAGAACTTCATGTTGCAGCCTTGTGTCTCTGCCAATTGTCCACACTTCGGATATAAAGCCAGCAGTGCCTGGACCCAGGACCTGGGTGGTGCTCGGAGTGGAGCTCCTGACTTCCAGGTTTAACAGCAAAGGCTTGTTTCCAGGTCCAGGGATCCTCTGGGTGGCTCGGTGGGATCAGTACACTCAGATCTATGCCTTTCCCTTTAGAAATGTCTTTGTCATAGTCTTCGTAGGTTTGAGATGGAGGGCATCTTGGTGTTCCTCGTGGTTCTGGACTGGTCCTGGCATAGCTGTTGAAGGCCGGGTTTTGTATGAGGCTTCTCAATTGGATTCCTACTATGTTAATGGGGGGAAGGCTTCCCTCTGCAAGGTCTATTATTGGGCTTGGAAGGCATATTTCATTGGTGTGAGTCTTCCACCCTCGGAGTTTGTGGGATAAATCCTCTTTCCTGCAGTGGAGTCTGGTGCAGCGTTTGGCTGTCAATACTCTCCTTGGTCAGGTCTCTGCCTTGCTGCTACTTTCTGCTATCTTTGTACAGAGTCTTTCATGTAATTTCCTCTTCCTCCCCTACGACTGAGGGATTTGATTCTAATTCTCTCTGTGCTGTTTTGATTCCATCAGACCTATCAGTTGGGTACCTGAATCAGTGGCCCTATCCTGCAAGGAGCCCCTTTTTTGTTTTCATGGGGACAAGGTGGAATTGAGGTCTAGGACTCCTTCCTTCTCACCAAAGGTAGTTTATGCCTTTCTCGTAGCAGGACAATATCTTTGTTCCTATTCCAGCTCACCAAAGGGAAAGTTTCCCTCTATTGTCTGGCTTTGGTTGGGCTGTGAGAGTCTATTGTTCAGCCGTTTTTCTTTCGTCATCCTGGATGAACCACGAATGTGTCCTCCAGCTTTTTGTTTTCTAGGTGGCTGAAGACCATCTTCATCCAAGCTTATGGTCTCGAGGATTGGTTCCACCATTTCTTGTCATGGTGTGTAATCCTACAAGCCACTGCTTCTCCGATTTTGGAAGACCACCTGATCTTCTGTTCACATGTTCTGCCAGGTGGCTGCCGATTCCAGGGTCGGGTGTAGCGTCATTGAGGCAGCAGACCCCCATCCTACCTCGGATTTTGGTGCTCACTGTAGAACACTTTCCTGGAGTCCATGGAGGGACATGGGTTCTGGCTTTACTCTCTCAGTATTGCTTTCCTACACAACAGATGTATGGTGGGGAGGGGCTATCCTGGCCTGCTTTTGTCTGTGTGGGGGAGGGAGGGATTTGTCTAGTGTCCAGTCCTCCTTTAGGTGGCAGTATAGCCCAATAGTCCTCCTGTGGCCCTCAGTGGATCCTAGTAAAGGGTTACATGGTGAGTATAGTAGTCCTGCCATTCCTTTCACTTCATCATTTCACACTGTATATACCGATTTTTCTTCTAGTATAGAGAAGTCCTCAATTTAGGGGTTTTTTTTTTTGTTTTTTTTTCTTTCAGTGAAAATGTATACATCAGAATGTACATCATCTTTTCTTTTTTTTCTGAAGGTGATGAAGCGGAGACAAAATCTGGTGCACAGGCTGCCGCGGATGAGGAAGACGATGATGACGACGATCCTGAGAATAGGTATGATTCCAGTCACACGGACTATAAAAAGCTTATAACACACCCTAAGCGTGGGTCCAAAGCAAAGCATCGGAAGAGCAAGCAGGTTGTACAAACCCGGACTTCCTGCCTTGTAAAGACTCGATCCCAGGCTGCTCACAAGCTTGACCGAGTGGTCGGAAAACCAAGGCCAAAAAACCCGAAAAGCAATGAAGCGATAAATTGATCTTTGAGTATTACACACCTTGCATAGGGTGTGTTATAAATACACAGAGGAGTGTGTGGTGTACATGCTGGGATGGTGTCTGGGAAAGCTGAAGGATTGACCCGAGGTCTGGTCATGTATGGGAATAGAGAACCTGCTTTCCGAGCTGCTGGAATAACGTGTGAGCTCTGGGGGGACTCGGTCTGTTGTGTTCCGACACGCCACGCTATTGGTGGACCCACTAATCTTCTCAAAGGCCAATCTCATTCATTATGGTAAGGTGGCTGTCCCATATCAGTGACCCCCCCCCCCCCCCCCCCAGGAAGGGGTACCCAGCAAAGTCCGACTATACATAAACTGTAGTCTAAGTGCCACACACAGGTCTAAGGTGAGGTTTTATCAGATATTCAGTCATAAAGATGACTTGTTCTCGGGGTGTGAACGTCCCCCTTCCTCATGGCTGATATATATTACACCATTTACATTGTAGTCCTGAGGAGGGGGGTGTCCCTTCCCCAAAACGTGTTGGCTCTTTTGTTCTGCCCCCTGTACCCCCCTCTAACGGGTGTTTTATACACCTCACTGATATAAAACGGCTTTTAAAAGGCAAAAATATTTTATTTGAGGAATTTTATAGGAAAACACTTTTTAAAAGGTTTCATGTTTTACTTTGTTCAGATTTGTAGGCTGTTCTGTAGGGTTAGGTACTGATATACATCCATAGGATTTGTAGTCAGAAATGGTTTTTTAGTCATCAATATAACGGTGTGATGATTTACATGAAGTGGGAATTAGTTTTAGGTGAATATTTTGAGTTATTTTAGGCTGAGTGAAATTCATTTTTTGGTGTTTGCTGGCATGTGAATGCTTCCACTTGTGGCCACCTCTATGCCGGGGCATGATGAGGTATGCTGGGACATGAGGTATGCCAGGGCATGATGAGGTATGCTGGGACATGAGGTATGCCAGGGCATGATGAGGTATGCTGGGACATGCTGAGGTATGCCGGGGCATGATGAGGTATGCGGGACATGAGGTATGCCGGGGCATGCTGAGGTATGCCGGGGCATGCTGAGGTATGCCGGGGCATGCTGAGGTATGCCGGGGCATGCTGAGGTATGCCGGGGCATGCTGAGGTATGCCGGGGCATGCTGAGGTATGCCGGGGCATGCTGAGGTATGCCGGGGCATGCTGAGGTATGCCGGGGCATGCTGAGGTATGCCGGGGCATGCTGAGGTCAGAGTTCATACTGATACAAGGTATGAGGATTGCCATTGCTAACCCTTCCTGACTGTCATTCCTATCCTTTGGTATGTCAGTTCTTGGGGGGAGTTATGGGAGGACTTCATTCACAGAGCTTTAGAGGTGTATAGAGGATAAACCACTAAGGCTACAGATCCTCACACCACCATTTTAAAGCGGAGTTCCACCTGGAAAAAAAAAGTCAGCAGCTGCAATCACTGTAGCTGCTGATTTTTAAAATGCAGATACTTTACCTGTCCCTCGGTCCGGCGGTGTCCCCACCCCAGCTGGTTTCACCGCTGGCATCTTTAGTGTGGGCACCTGGCTGTGACAGCTGCTTGAGGCTTCACAGCCGGATGCCCACTGCGCATGTGCGAGAAGCGCTGCGCTTTTGTGAATGGCCCCGTAGTCTTCTGAGACCTTTCACGTGTCTCACTACAGGGAGGGAGGAGGACAACTTCCTCTTCCGATCACCTAGATGATCGCAGCGGAGGTGGGAACCAGTACCTGTCAAATTCGGGTACCCACTTAAACCCCTCCCCCTGCTCCCCAAAGGTGCCATTCCTTAAAGTGGTAGTAAACCTCGGTAAGGGGGGGGGGGGGGGAGGAAGTCCCCTGCAAGGTAATGTCTATTATGTATTGCACCGCATCACACTTCACCCATCCGTGCCATTCCTTCAGAGCTGGGTGCAGTGGCATGGGAGTGACGTCATCACGGTCCGGCCTTTCAGACGGCCAGAGCTCATGAAGATGGTGACGGTGCGCCGGATATGCCATTCCTTCAGAGCTGGGTGCAGTGGCGTGGGAGTGACGTCATCACATTTTCCGGCCTTTCAGACGGCCAGAACTCATGGAATCGGTGACGGTGCGTCGGATATGCCTTTCCTTCAGAGTGCATGTGCCGGCTTACAAAAAAAGGGAGAATATCTGCTAAATGGCGCACGTTTAGGAGATATTCGCTTTATTTTATTATAAGCTTACCTGTAGGTATAATAGCAAAAATAAAGTTTATTACCACTTTAGGTGCCAGTTCACATATATGCAGATTGGATAGCATCCCGTCTGCATGACGTGAAATAACATTGCTTCCTATAGTGCCTGTTCACACGTGTCCGGTGCAGATTCAGCGCGGTTTGAAAAAGAGTCCTGCCCGAGTTCTGAGCCGTGCCTTCAGATTCAGGTGCGGATTACAAGCCATTGACTTCTATGGAAACGGTTTCTAAACCGCATGTGTGATCGGGATAAGATCCTGACCTGAACCTGAAACCTAACATGAACCGCTGAACTACTACTGCATCAATTAGCTGTGAACCCCGAGCAACGGTCCGCACCGCATGGGTGTGAACCCCGAGCTTCAGTCCGCACCGCACATGTGAATGGGCTGTGAGCGATCAATTCTGATACGCATCGCTCACCTGCGGGAGCCTGGGACTGCAACACTCTATTGGTAGAGGATACACAAGAGCAAAGAACCACCGGACACCCCACCTGACACCTGATTGGCTGCTCAGGTTCAATGGTGGGAGAAATGGGAGAGTCCCTCCTTCTATATTACACACAGGGATCACATAAAGAACACAACTCCAGGAAGAGAGAATGGGGGGGAGGGGGTCTGTAGTCCTCTCTGCACCCCTAACAGTACGGTCTGCATACATTGAACTTCACAAACCCAACAGCCAGGATAAGGATCTGTATTTCCAGTCGGATTGTAAAGTGAAATGCACATACCCAACAATAAAGATCCTCCTCCTTGGTGAATGGCGTGGATCTGGCTACTTTTAGCTGCAATGAGGAGTTGATTTTTTCCATCCTATCGGAATATTGGGATCTCTTCTGATGTCGGACACTGAATGACCGAGACCGTTCCCGGCTCACCGTTATTCGTTAGCTGGATCGCTTGTGTTGGGTTTTCTATGTTGGTGAGGGGGTGTGCTGTACAATGATGGAGCTGTGTGACCCGAGGGAAGGCCGATGGAAGCTTTCCCACCATTGGACGATCTTCCTTCAGCCTTCTCTCCAATTGGTGACAAGTCTGGCAGCCAACCAGTTGGTGATTTCCTGATGTGGGAGGTTCCCGGAATGTCATCCAATCCATGTGCTGCTTTCCTGTGTTCTAATGACGTTCGATGATGAATATTTATTGTCCAGTCGATGGTCACATGTAGGTAAATCTGACATTTGATTGGTAATTGCAGGAGCTTGTGGCTTCTGTGCTCTCATGTGTCTGCTGCTACCTTTCCTACATCCAGTACGCCTAAGAGAAGAAATATACAAAAGATTTTCTACAGCCGCCTCTTTAGCAGCTTTTATTTACGTTTTTAGAAATTTTAAAGGTTTGAATGTTGCACAACTGCTAAAGAATCTGACATGTGACGGGTCAGATGTGTGTTATTGGAGGTCCTGGAAACACAGCACTGCCGACACCGGGGACATTTCTGATTGGTTTCCACCTTCAGGATCTGTTCACAGCCATGGTGTGCCGGGATATCAGAGATCCTCGTGGAGGAGCGAAGAAGTCCTTCCACACATCGGTTGTCTTTACCTGACACTCTGTGCTCATGGGGTGGGCAGTCCCTCGAAGGGGTGGGCAGTCCCTCGAAGGGGTGGGCAGTTCCTTGAAGGTGGAGACGTCTCTTTGTTGGCCATAAGCCCTACATTACTCTATGGAAGGCAATGTACTTAGATGTGTACACGGTCCATCTCCAACCACCCTTGGGGCCACCAACAGGTCATATTGTAGGTTTGTGCCGCCCCCTGGAGGAGAAGGGAACGTACTTCATCTTAGGAAGGGGTTCATCACGTACAGTCCTCCCCCAGTCAGTTCTGTGTTGGTGTGTGGGGGGGCCGTGGGGACTCAGAGATGCTCTATTGTCATTCTAAAAATGTAAGAGCACCAACAATATAATGGGGTTTACACCGGAGGCCCCCCTTCCTTTCCTTTCGGCCTCGGTGGCCCCCCCTCCCTTTCCTTTCGCCTCGGTGGCCCCCCCTCCCTTTCCTTTCGGCCTCGGTGGCCCCCCTCCCTTTCCTTTCGGCCTCGGTGGCCCCCCTCCCTTTCCTTCTGGCCCGGTTGCCCCTCGGTGGCCCCCCTCCCTTTCCTTTCACCTCGGTGGCCCCCCTCCCTTTCCTTTCGGCCACTCGGTGGCCCCCCTCCCTTTCCTTTCGGCCTCGGTGGCCCCCCTCCCTTTCCTTTCGGCCTCGGTGGCCCCCCTCCCTTTCCTTTTCGGCCTCGGTGGCCCCCCTCCCTTTCCTTTCGCCTCGGTGGCCCCCCCTCCCTTTCCTTTCGGCCTCGGTGGCCCCCCTCCCTTTCCTTTCGGCCTCGGTGGCCCCCCTCCCTTTCCTTTCGGCCTCGGTGGCCCCCCTCCCTTTCCTTTCGGCCTCGGTGGCCCCCCTCCCTTTCCTTTCGGCCTCGGTGGCCCCCCTCCCTTTCCTTTCGGCCTCGGTGGCCCCCCTCCCTTTCCTTTCGGCCTCGGTGGCCCCCCTCCCTTTCCTTTCGGCCTCGGTGGCCCCCCTCCCTTTCCTTTCGGCCTCGGTGGCCCCCCTCCCTTTCCTTTCGGCCTCGGTGGCCCCCCTC